GAAAAGGAATGTTTTGCTCTGTGTGTGGGAATGGCACTGTGTGCTTCTCATCATAATACCCACAAGTGGGCATTAGAACATCACGCCCAACTTACAGGCAGAACGTTGGGTAACGCCCAAGGCCACACAGAGAAGTGGCAGCGGCCCGGGTTGGAGCTGACATTCCCTCTGCTTTCTCTCTGTGAGAGGATCCCAAAGTCCACCTTGAGACCAGAAGCAGTCCTGCTGCCCCTAAGAAATCCTGGACGCCTACTTCCATCTCTGAATCACAGGGACACTCTCCAGATTCGAAGGAAGGGTCCAGTATGACAGATGGGGTCCTGGAGAGAAAGTTTCCAGACACTGTTCTTGTACACAGTTACCAGCGTGCACAGGAAGACGGAAACCAAAACAGGACACTGGAAAAACCAATCACAACACAAAGAGGAGAGGCCAGATGAGCCTGCCCAGGAACAGCCACGGGGAGGCTGGACGCTACTGGGAGCGATTCTGTGTCCTTCCCAGGGAGGCTGGTACCAGGACGAGAGGGAAGGGACACAAATAACATTTTCCTGTGTGGAATCTGAGTGGCTCAGATTATTATTACAGCTAGCAGGCATTAACTTTTTTTTGTCTTATCACTTGTAGATAGTATGCACGCACACGATGTATGTACAGTTCAAGCAGAGAGTGAGGCCTCTGGGTGGCCAGGGAAGGCATTTCGGGGAAAGCACAGGAGGCCTGAGAAAATCCTGCAGGTAAGGGAGCGGGTGGAGGAAGCGCTTCAAATAGCAGAAAAGGGGGAGGAGGAACTAGCTCAAAGGGCGGGGGACATGCCTGGCACACACAGGAGTTGCTTGTACTCTGCGACTGCTCACTGGCCCCGCAAGGACTCCCGAGCATTGATGGATGCAGTTCAAGTGGCCCCTGGCACGGCTCAGAAACCCCCAAATAAAACCTAAACCCAAATGGAAAAGTCTGCGCTCAGAGCACAGCGGGAAGCCCAACTAGGCCTGGTCTGAGGGGTGACAGGTCTGGCCTGGTCTGAGGGGTGACAGTCTGGCTGCATTGCTCCCCAAAGAGTGTGAGGAAGGCCACACCTTTACCTCCTCAAAATCGAGAGAACCCCCAGGGCTGGCTGATCGATGGGCAGTCGATGGTCTCTGGGTGAGGCGTCTGAGGTCATCCTTTCCACCCGCCGGGCTGTAAGCACATGGCCTGTGGCATGCAGCCCCCTACATCCCTCTCCACAGAGCCCTGAAGGGCCAGAGTTCACTCCAGAGAAAGCAGCCGACTGCCAGAGCCCCAAGATAAGCTGCCAGGAGCAGACACAAGCCCCAGGGACACTCAGAATGCTCCTTCTTGCTCACCATCAGGCCAGCCTGGACAGCCGGGTGCCCGCTGCCCGCCGTTCAGATCCCCATCTACTCCAGCTTCCTCCTTGCGGCCTGCTGGCTCGCCCCTTTGTCTGCGGAAGCTGAAATCAGCCTGGCCTTCAGCCCAAGAATACACAGGCCCACACTCCTGCATTTTTGGTCACCCACTCACCTGCCTCCTGCACCCTTAGGGGTTTCCAGGTATCAAGGCCTACAGGTGAGAGGCCATTCCCAGAACCAGTTCCCAGGGAATGGGGAGATGGAGTGTGTGTGTGTGTGTGTGTGTGTGTGTGTGTGTGTGTATGTGTGTGTGGGGAGGGGGTGTCAGCAGGTGGCCTTCCGGGGATGGATGCTCAGGTCGGGATGACCTGGGGGTGACCTGAGGCACCACACCCACACGTTCATTCCATCTAGGTCGGATCTCAGTTGGCCTGGCAAGCTCCTTCATGCAGTCAACAGAGAGAGGAAGTTGGCGGCCAGCACCACGGGTCGCTCTGAAGTGTGTCTGCGCTCAAGGAGTCAGAGAGAAAGAAGACAGTTCTACCTTTCCCGGAAAACACCACGCCTTTGGAATTTCACAAAATGAGCACGGGCTGGAAGCAGAGAGACAGCACAGTGGGTAAGGCGTTCGCCTTCTGTGCAGCTGACCCGGGTTTGATCCCCAGCACCCCTATGAGCACCCGAGCCCCACCAGGAATGATCCCTGAGCACAGGGTCAGGAGTAAGCCCTGAGCACGACTGGGTGTGGCCTAAACACCAAAACCCTAGAAACAGGCACCGCCTACCCCGTGACATAACTGAGCAACCCACGTCAGGGAGCCCGCGTGGGGTGAGACAGGCTCCAAACGGCCTTTCCTGATAACAGGGTGCATTGTGAGCTCCTCGGGGAAACGGGGAACCGAGCTAAGCACCGAGGAGTCTTCTCCCAGGTCACTGGCCGGGGAGAGGCAGCTGGGCCCGTGCTCCCCGCCCCCACTGTGGCGAGCGGGACAACCCAGCCCTAAGTCAGCTGAGCGCTTCCCGTCCCTGGCAAGTGTCTGCTCACAGCGACCTTGTGTGCTGGCCGGTCCCCTCTCACTGACAATGAGGCGAAACAGAACAGAGGCGGGCCCCTGCTGCAAGGCCGCACAGGCGATAAGCCAGCCAGGCAGCCATGACCACAAGACCTCGCAATCCAGCTTCTGACCTTTTCCCCTGGCCCCTTGCCTCATGCGACTCAGGTAGAGCGCGCAAGCCCCTAAGGGCACCACGACAACAGGTGTGGCCCCCAACACTGCAACAGCAATAGCCACCTATGGAAGGGAAGGGGGTAAAAAACAAAGGCATTTGAGATGAAAAAAATTAAACGCCCAAATTGTTTGCTTGCTTGTTTTGGCGGGCTTTCGGTTCGGTTTTCGTTTGGTCTTAGAGCAAGGTCTGTGCCCTACTCACTGTACTATCGCTCCAGCTTCTGCCTGCTTGTTGTGAGCCTTTATCTAACGGTGCCCGGAGCTGCTCTGGCCGCTGGGCCTGGGGGTCACTCCTGGTCGGGCCTGGGGGATCCTGTGGTGTCTGGCACTGAAGCAAAGGAGGTGCTCTAGCCTACTGAGCTCTCTGGCCTGCAGATACGTACATTATGTAAAGAGAATGAACAGTGACTGATGAGACTGCTCAAAGGGCCAGTGTACTGTATGAGGGAGGCCCAGGTGTCCTCCCCAGCACCACATGGTCCCCTTAGCAATGCTGGCAGTGACCCCAAAGCCGGGAGCACCCCCAGAGCATCACTCTAGATGTGACTCTTTAACAACAACAAAAAAGAGTAACAGTAACACCATCATAAACAGTGACCACCATGACATGGCAGACCTGAGCAAAGCACTTCAGTAGTTTTGGGTGGGGGGCACAAGTGGCAGTGCTCACAAGCTCCTCCCAGCTACTTCTGCCCTCGGAGTTGGCTCCCAGCATTGCTGGAGGGACTATGTGGTGACCAGTCAAACCCAGGTGGCTGAGTTCCCTCTCCAGCTCTAGGCAAAGCGCTTTACGTGAATTTTCCCACTTCACTTTCATTCCCTGGTGGAAGCGTGGTTTCTCCCACTGCACAGGTGGGAGAACCCCAGAAAGGTTATGTAACTGACCCAAGATCACACAGTAGATGGCAGAGTTGGGGAGTAGAACCCAGATCCTCGTGCCTGATGAAGAGGCATCAACTTGTCTTACGTACAGTCTCGGGACTGCTGCCTGCTTTGGCAGAGAGGTCCTGGCAAGCACCTGCTGTATCTCTAGGCACCGGGAAGAGACATGCTTCAGTTGTGCTTTGGCTCTCCCACACTGACAGCCTTCTAGCTCTAAAGCACCAGGCTGGGCCCTTTCCAAAGGGGACATGAACAGATGCGGGCGAGGCTGCTCCTGACGGAGTGCTCCAACCCCACCTCCACCCAGCACCTCTCTCGACCCGCACAGACACACACACAGGGGGCCAAGCTGCTCAGGGGTTCCCATGGACACTGCCAAGAGCAGCCGGGAACAGGAAAAAATGGCAAAACTGCAGAAAGTGTGAGCCTGGGGGCTAGCAAGGGAAAAGAAAGGGCCCCTCCACTTGGCTTATTTTCACTTTCATCTCAAAGACACAAATCACTTCAATTTCACAACTGTCAAAGGAGAATCTTTCCCTGTTGCACCAGAAGGCTTCTGTTGACCTACTTTTGAATAGCTGAAGGATTTTCATTTTGTTTTCCTTTTTTGGGGGGAGGATCTCTTATAAGCCGTGCCTACAGAGCCTGGGGGCCACACAGTACTCAGGGGACCATGCCATGCTCTGGCTAGAACCCAGGCCGCCCACATGCAAAGTGTGTGCTCCAGCCCTTGGGGTTACCCTCCCCACCCTTTTGAGGGTTAAAAGAAAAAAATCAATAAATAATTTTGACTCTCAGTTCTGTCACTGATGGGTTAGCCAACTGAGCTTTCATGATGTGGTCTCTCCCAGCAAGAAACAGGAGTCAGTAAGAGAGAGGAGTAGCCAAGTTCCTGGCTGCTGAAAGGTTTGAACTGGCAGGCGTCACCACAGGCATATGGTGATTTCACAGGAGGACAGGTGCTCAGAGGACAGGTGCTAATTCAGCAAACACTAACTAGAGACACTGGCAAGGAAACACAAACTCACTGCATGCAAGACAGATGTGAGATTCTCACCTAGGGAGAAAAACCACCAGTACCAAGGCCATCCTGGAGACCCCAGACCTCAGAAGGCGCACCCATGTGCGAAGAGCACTTTGGTTAGCTGATTTATCAGGCAATCCCAAGAACTTCAAGGCCCAAGAGGATTTCTGTGGGCAACGAACAACTCTGGGTTGAACTGCTATTATCACTTTCACTGGACTGCAACAATAAATCTGATTTTTCTAGCACAGCAGATGAGGCGCTTGTCTTGCAGACAGCCTATATGGGTTCGATCCTCAGCATCCCATATGGTCCCCTGAGCACTGCCAGCACTGCCATTTTACAGATGCAGAAATTGAAGCTCAGGGATAAGTAACCTGCTCTGGATCACAGAAGTGATAGGGTTGACATTCTAACCCCACTTCATCTACATCCACATCTTCCCTAGACACTCTTCTTATAACCAGCTGGACAGGCCCACCGAACACGTTCCCCATGCTGGGTGCTTACCCAGGAGGTGCTTGATGATGGCTTGGTTGTGTTCCCAAAGGTTACTGAAGGTCCCCCAGCGTGAGTGGCCATCAGGCACAGGGTTGGCTTTGATCCAGCCACCGCAGGCGTAGGTGAAGAAGTCCTGGCAGGGGTCTACTGTGGGGTCCATGGAGCTCAAGATGGAGCTGGTGACAGAGACACAGGCCTCGCTCAGGCACACTGGAGGGCTCCCTGGCAGGAGAGAGAGGAGGAAAAGAGCCAGTGAGAGCGGGGCAGAGGCAGCACGCAGTCTAGGGCCCCGGAGCCAGGCCCACTCCTGCTCCTCACCGGGGTGGGACCGGGCAGTCGCTTGCCCTGAGACAGAGGCTCCCAGCAGAATTCACATTTCCTGACTTCTGTTTTACCCCTGTGGCTTAACCTACGCAGAACCAAGGTGCTCAGCGTGTTCTTTCACACATCTTCATCTACTTTTTATTATTCCTTGATGGTTAATTGATTATTCATTCACTCATTTGTGAAAGAAAATTATCACCAAGTTTCTGCCATGTTCTTTGCTGAATGCTGTGTGCATGTGCGTGTGTGTGTGTGTGTCTTTGTGTGCATGCACACACATGCATGCATGTGCTTTAGAAGGTAAAAGTCTTTTTCTTTAGGAGTCAGCAATTTGGGGGGGTGAGAGATTGCACAGCAGTGACTACAGCCTACAGCCTAGCATGCACCTGGCCTGGGTTCAATCCCCAGTGGCACATGGTCTTGAGAGCACTATCGAACACAGCCCTGGAGACTCCCACACAGTCCTAGGGAGACCTGCATCTTTGGGTCCTGGCACTGAACCCAGGGCCAGGTACATCAACAATCCCCAGGCCTTCGGAGCACCTCCAGGGTCGTTCCTCTGCAACCTATGCCCCCAAATTAGTACTTTGGCTGGGGATTTACACATGATACCAGAGAAGTCAAAAGGCAGGGGCCAGGGGCTGGAGCGATAGCACAGCAGGTAGGGCGTTTGCCTTGCATGCGGCGGACCCGGGTTTGATTCCCAGAATTCCGTATGGTGCCCTGAGCACCACCAGGAGTAATTTCTGAGTGCAGAGGCAGGAGTAACCCCTGAGCATCACCAGGTGTGACCCGCAAAGCCAAAAAAAAAGGCAGGGGCCAGGGATGTGGCTCAGAGGCAGAGCACATGATTTCCAAACGGGAGGCCCCAGGTTGGAACCCAGCACCGGCAGGAAAGTCAGAGACAGTGGAGGGAGAGATGCTGTCAGGCTCCCGCCCACATACACGGAGTGCTGGAGGGAGTGAGGGAAAGACGGAGGAACGGGTACCGCTGGGAAAAGCCTTTCCCTGATGCAGGAGGGAGACCTCACTGAATCCTTGTAACACCCGAGAGGAAACAGCTCTGAAGGTCACTCGGCCGTAGGCCCTTTTCACACCAGAGCACACTGAGGGACAGGGAAGCAAAGCCCAGTGCTCCTGGTCAGTGGGATGTGAGCCCCTCCTTCTCCCACACACCTGCTCTGGGCCTAGAGGATCCCCCAGCCCACACCTAAGAGGCTCTAAAACCTCCTGTCACCACAGGGCTGCAAGGAGGTTGGCTGGATCCTACAGGTGCCCCCCCCAAAAAAAAAACACCACAAGGGAAGATTAGCCCCCTCTGAGCACTCTTACAGGATACCAGGGACATGGGCTGTCCAGGAGACATCTGACTCAGGGAGGCCTGTGGCTTCCAGTCCAGGAACCGAACCAGGAGCAGCCTCGGCCAGAGCCCAGCCTGGGGGGCGGGAGATGGACCTGGCCACAGAGTCAGGCTGGCGGCTGGGAAAACACGCATGACAGGCCCAGCTCAAGGCTGACCCTATTCCAGGGGATGCAAGTCTGAGTGATGATGGGAAGGAGGTTGCAGGGCTGTGAGGAGACTCCGCCTCTGCGTCTGCTGCTGCACTGAGAGGCTGGGCTCTGCCCTGGCCCCTCACCCACCCGCAGAGCCATGCAGGGGCTCTTCTGACCAGTTCTTTCCTCCTGCCAAACCTGGAGGAGGTGGGGCAGGCAGGCTTTCAAGGCTCTTGGATCTGGACTTAGATCCCAACTTATTTATTTTTATTTTGGGGTTACACCCAGCAATGCTCAGGGGTTACTCCTGGCTCTACACTAAGAGATCATTCCTGGTGATGTTTAGGGGACCATATGAGGTACCAGGGATAGAACCGTGGTAGGCCACATGCAAGGCAAAAACCCTACCCGCTGTACATTGCTTTGGGCCCCTCAATCCCAACTTTCTGCCTCTTGTTGTGGGCCTTGAGCAAATATCACTCGGAGATCAGTGTCTCCATCCAGAACTAAGGAAGCACAGTGGGGTCTAGTTCTCTGACATGACCTCAGGATTAGGTGTGTGGGCTCAGCTCCTGTAGTCTGAGGGCCACTGCTTCTGAGAGAGGACAGAGGGGACCGGAGAGGGACAGGTGTCACCTCACTCAGAAATAAGGCATGGTCAGTAGGCTTGTTCATAGTTGGTGACCAACATAAAGTCCTGGAGGACAATGAAGAGTTCAGAAGAACAGCATAGGAGCACAAGAATGAGCATGATTTGATTTGAGGTGACGACATGGTTATTGGTTATTGAGCCATTAGGCATGGAAAGAAAGAAAGGAAATGGCAGAGAATACAATCCCATGGTCTCTATCAGATCATAGTAATCAGAGTAGCATGGCCTACTCTCCACCTCAGAGAGGGTCCCACAATTTTTATGGGGATTTGACTTGGATGCAGAGAATTTCTATCTTTGAAAAGTCTATAAATATTGTCTGTGTCTAACAGGCAGGAATCAAGTCTAGGAAAAACCAGAAGACAGATGTGATAGGATGGTGTCTTCAGGGAATGAGATACATGAGATATATCAGGTGTGTATGTGTGTGTGTGTGTGTGTGTGTGTGTGTGTGTACGTGTATGCACGCGCACGTGTGAGAGAGACAGATTTTTATAGTTATAAGGGAACTTGAGCTTAGAATAAGAAGCCTATCCCTAGGAACTTGTCTGGAGTTTAAGTTTTCACTAAACTGCAAGGTACCTAGGTGTGCTGAAGTAATAATCACTTGATTATTTAAGCATCTATTTATTGTTTTTGGACAGCACAGCAGTAGGGCATTTGCCTTGCACGCAGCCAACATGGCCGACCCGAGTTCGATTCCTCCTCCCTTCTCAGAGAGCCCGGCAAGCTACTGGGAGTATCTCGCCTGCACGGCAGAGACTGGCAAGCTACCCGTGATGTATTCGATATGCCAAACACAGTAACAACAAAGTCTCCAATGGAGACGTTACTGGGCCCGCTCGAGCAAATCGATGAACAACGGGAGGTCAGTGACTCGGTGACTCAGGCCACGCCTGGTAATGCTCAGTGTTTTCTCCTGGCTCTGTATTCAGGAATTACTTCTGGTGGTGCTCCGGGTTTATGGGGGACCAGGAATTGAACCCAGGCTGACCACACGCACGGAAAGGAAGGCCACATGCAAGGCTGTACTCTCTCTCCCTCTGGCCCTGTTAAGTACCTCTTTAATTTTAGGAATGTTACCAACTATTCTTGGCCTGGCCAGTGCTTAAGCTATCTCTGATTGATCTATAACTTTCTAGACACCTGCTTCTAATGCTAAAGTCAATACTTCCCTAACTTGGCTCGGGCCCCATCTCTGCAGAGAAGCCTTCCCAGACTCTCGTGCCTGTTTAGGCCCTTGGCTGCCAGGCTGTCTCTCTGTCTACTCCTCCACAGACTGGGAGCCTGAGAGCTGGGAATTTTTTTATTTCTTTGCCCAGCACTGTATCTGGCACCTAGCAGGTATTCAACACATTTGTTGAATGAATGAATATATAAATGAATGAATTTATGAATGAATACATCAAAGAACGCTGACTCGACCTGGGCACCACCGGGAGAGGCAAACACTCTGCTGCTTCCCTTTGTGTGACCAATGGAGAAGGCAGCACCTGGAGGCCCAGATCTAGGTAAGACCCCTAGTCTGGACACTTGCCTAGTTTCACTGCTGTATTTCTCAGCAGACTGTATTGTTTGGTTTACTGCCACTGTTTGGAAAGCGCTGGCAAGTTTCTGGAAAGGAGGGTGTAGCAAGAAGGTGGACAAATATGTGTTTAAGTGTCCAGACATAACTTGGAGGTGAGCCTTTTAAACTCATCAGACTTGCTTATGACCTCATGTTTGCTCCCCTGGGGCTGATGCCAGCCCCTGGGGCTAGGAAATGAGGCCACTGTCAATATCTGCAGCGGTCACCACATTCCTAAACCAAGTCGGCCAGCAAGACTCATGGTTACCTGCTCAGAGGTTACCTGCTGCCCAGCCCAGCTCTACCAAGGGAAAGCCTGAGGGGTCATCCTTCCTGCGGGCCCCACTTGGAATGACAGGTGGAGCGCTTGGGGCCCATCGGCCAGGAGCCCAGCCGTGGGGATCCCTGTATCTGGGCAGAGCTGGCCACAGGGAGCTTAGCAGCTCTCCAGACACAGGGCCCAGAACAGGGGGCACTCCCAAAGAACACTGATTTAGGATAAGACAGTAGCTGCAGGACAGGGTGACCGGGAGGTAAAAACTGTTCCCAGCATAGTCTTCCGCCAAGTCATTGTGTGCACTCTAGTCATCTGCTCATCCACCCTGCAAGTCACAGGCACACCGAAGGCATGCAGGGGTTAGCTAAGCACATAGGGTGAAGGGCTTGGCAATGATTACTTTATTAAGCAAAAACTTGGGAGGCACTTGCTACGCCTGGCATATTTGGTAAAACATCTACAAACCGTTAAACAGGCAATGAAATAATCAAGCAATTATTTCTTAAGCACCATCTGGGTGCCCATGCATAGCGTCGACACTCCTGCAACGCTTGTGGCATGAAGACTGACAGAGGGGGTGCCACAAGGGTGAAGACAGGAGGGGTCGAAGAGGAGTCCCCTGAAGTCCTGCTCTCTCTCCGTCCACCACCCCCACTCCCAACCCTCCATCGCCCTCCCCACCCAGCCTGGCCTCCCCCACACGCACACAGGCCAGAAGCTTCCACAGGGAGTTCTCGGAGAAGCCAAGCGGGTATTTCCTGGTTCACCAGAGAGGAGCGGGTGAGGAGGTCAGTGGGAGAGCCCCCCAGGCTGCTCCAAGGGTGAGATCCCGCTCTCGGAAAGCAGGATGAGACAGAGAGAGGCTGGCACGGGGGGTGGGCGGGGGGGGGCTGGCCATGCTCATTCTGAACCCGGACCCGCCCTTCCTGGCTCCAAGAATGCCTTGCAGCCTTCTAAGGCAAGAAGGAGCCACACATTCAGGACTGGGGGATAGGGGGCAGGGTGGGGGCGGGAGTGTTGGGGTGCGGGTGGTTGATCCTATAGCTCTGTGGGGTCAGACACAGGAATGCGATGACAGAGGTCCACTGGGACAGTCGGTCTTTATGGGTGTCCGGCACACACTGGGGCGCACCGTGATGCAAAGGGAGGGGGAGCCTGGGCTCTGGGGTCCACCAAGTTACAAATGGGTGGATTCCAGACTTTTTTCTCCCTCCCACACAGGGCAAGGCCCCCTGTCCCAGGGATTCGGTTTCCTCAGACAGAAAGCAGCCAACGTCACCCCCGCCTCGGAGATGAGGCCCCATCTGCAAGGGAGGGGAGGCACAGTTGGCTCATGGAAACGACTCAGTAAACAGAAGCTCTGACGGCTGCCTTGTTGCCTCAAAGGGTGGCGGACAGTGCTGGCCGTGTGTGACCGGCCCCCATCCTAACTGAGCCCATAACTGAGGTCAAAAAAATCACTGGGCACCAGCTCTGTGACACTCGTCTTAATCCTTGGAGTCGTTCCCCAAAATGGCATGGTTTTTCTCCCTTTCCAGGAGGAGGAGAGAGAGGCTTTGGGAAGCGAAGTGACTTCTCCAAGGTCACACGGGGGATCGGGGGACGTGTGGCTAGGCTAGGGCTTGGACTTACCTTATTCATGTCACCTGCCACACCCACCTCCCAAGGCTTGCCCCTTTCTCACACTCGAACCCTCCCATCCCTGATGCTCTTGTGGGCCTTGGAGGCAGCTTGGGGCGGCAGGGCAGGCCCTAGCACAGGCAGGCAGCTGAGGTGTGGGTGGGTTCCTAAGCCCGAGAGGCAACGCAGAGGTACCTACTTGTCCGGTACTGGACGCCCAGCGCTGCCAGGCTGATGAGCAGTCCTACTGCCAGAAAGGCCACCAGCACCACCAGCCGCTTCTCCACCGGGGTCCGTGTGGCCCAACATCGCTGGCCCGTCCGGGAGCTGCGGAAGTTCACCTGCAGGGAAGGAGGCAGGAGGGGTGGGGAGGGTGTGAGCCGAGAGCTCCCCTTCCCCAAGAGGAAGGGGCTCGGGGGCAGACCCAGGCCCCGAGGCGCCATCAGGGGGTGGTCCGGTTCCCACAGGCTCAGTCCTAATCCAGGAAAGGAACCACCGCCCGGCTCTGCAGCTTGAATTCGCTCCGAAACATCAGCGTTGAGTGGCTCTCAATCCAGCCAGAACTTGTGTTTTTTTGTGTCACCCGATCCGGGTGGAAGGGGAAAAAAATTTAAAAATAAAAAATAAAAAAGCCTGCTTTTCCCTGCTTCTCCAGCAAGGAGCTCACAAAAAGAACAGGATGTTTGGACTTGCAGGCCTCCGCTGAGCGGCCAGCTGGGCACTCCCCAGAGCCCTGGAGTCCACGGGGCCGGATGACGCAGCCACGGAGTCACGCCACAGCTTGGGGAACCCTTACGGTTCCACACGAGAGGAGGGATTCATCCTGACCCAGGAGCAGTTCCCGGCAGGAGGGAACTGAAGTGCACTGAGGAGACCCTGGCTGCTGTCTCACGCTGCTCAGTGGGCGGTGCCGGGCTCTGGGCCTGAGGGTGTCAATTCCGGAGCCCACAAGTGGGGCTTTGAGACCTGGGAGATGCCCAGGAGAAATAGCTTCACACAGGCAGGTCCTCAAAGGGAGGGAAACGGTCTGCAGCCTCGCAGTCTAGCTAAACAGGAAAGGAGGCACAATGAAAGGAAGGGGGGGGGGCACAGGTCAGAGGAGGGCCGTACCAGCCTTCAGCCCTCACACCTCAGGCCCTTGAGGGACGCACCAGTTCTGCCCCAAGAGGTGCTTCCTGCAAAACCCTGGGCCACGGCACAGAGCGTCTCCTTCTGGCTGGGTGTAGTTTGGTAACTTTTTAGTCGGGGACAATCAACCTCGGTATCAACCCAGGAGGAATGCAGGGAAAAATGAGGGCAAGACTCTGGCTCTTTACTGCTGCACGGCCCAGCGGGGAAGCAGAGAGGGAAGAGAGCACAGTTGGTGGTCAGGGTAGGCTTCCTGGAGGTGGGGAGACCCAGATGAGGTCTTGGAAAAATAAATAGGTGAGGGCCAGGTGAATGGGGGAAGGAAGAGGTGAGAGTGAAAAGGGGCAGAGACTGTAGGGCACTATCTATCAGTCAGGGGAAAGGACTCAGGATGCTTCTGCAGGATGGGAGTCCCACGTCTGCATGGGACCACTGGCCAAGGTGAAAGAATAAGGTTTAAAGGCGGCCAGGCAAGGAGGTGGCCAGACTGGTAGTGTGTAGGGGTTCCCAGGGAGGAGAGGGCGCCCCACGGTTGTCCTGCTGGGAGCCAGGCCACTGCTCTAGGGGCATCTCATGACCTTGAAGAGCTGCAGGGCGAGCACTGAGTGTCCTCATGCTCACCCGTGGGCACTTTCTGGACAGGAAGTGATAGAAATGTCTGTACCAGAGAAAGGGGGAAATCAAAGCAGGTTCTAAAACTGAGAGAAGGAACTTGGGCTGGGTGACATTTCCTCAGAGGTTGAGGAGGCTGGACACCAGGGCAACGGTGTCAGATTTGGGTAGTAGTGTTAGTGGTGGTGGGGGCGGGGGCGAGGGGTTTGCTGTCTGCTGAAATCCTGTCCGAAATCTTCCCAAAGCAAAAACCAGAGCGATAGTACGGAAATTAAGAGGCCTGCCTTGCATGCAGTCAATCCGCTGCATATCCTAGAACCCCAAAATTCCATTCCAAGCTCCCCATATGGTTCCCTAAACCCTGCCAGAAGTGATCCCTGAGGGCAGACACAGAAGTCCTGAATACTGCTGTATCCCCAAAACAAAACAAAAATTTTTTTTTTTTAAAAAAAAGGGAGATAATGGGTTGAGAAGCAGTGTGGATCTTGCCTTGATTTGGCTGGCCCAGGCTCAATTTCTGGCACCCTGAGCCTACCAGGAGGGTCCCCTGAGCACAGAGCCAGGAGTAAGTCCTGCACACCGCCGGGTGGGGCCCCAAATCAAAAACCAAAAATCAGCAGAGATTCAAGAAACAAGGGCCAGGGATATGTCTCAGGAGAGCAGCGTGCGCTTCCCTCTCTGAGGCCCAGGGTTTGACCCCTGGCATCACAAAACTAAGATCACAGGTCTCCCCTTTCCCCACCTCTTTGGTAGCTCCACCCCCCTCAGTCCCCCAATGTGAGAAACAGATCCTGACAGCTGCTGGCCTGACTGACATCAGGGCAGGGAAGGCAGAAGGCAGCCTGGTACCATAGATGCTGGCATGGCCACAGCCCTTGAAGGTTTCAGGGCACCCCTTCCCGTGACAGGTCTATCTGCCCTTCTTGGCTCCTGAGGGCTGCAGAGCACCAGCTGCCTGGGCAGGGTCCCTGGTGTGCACTCAGCCTCCCTGCTCTTCTGCCCCGGCCTCACCCTCTGCCTCCTGCTCTGGGCCTCTCAGTGCCTCCGTTATTACAGCTCAGCTCTAATGGGGGGGGGGGCTGGGCACCCCTCTGCCCAGTGCCGACTCAGGAAATTGAGGAGCATAGTGATTTGGGGGAAAAGGGAAGAAAAGCAGGAAGATGATGAAAGAAACAGGGAGGGAAGGGAAAGGAGTAGAGATGGCATCCGAGGCTCGAGTACTTGCCATGTGGGGCTGGCATCCTGGAGCTTCTGTGCTGCTGCTAACTGGGGTTAGTCTATGGCCACAATGTCCTGGAGAGGGGGTACCAGTACTGGCTCCGGGAGAGGCAGAGGAAGAGTGGCAGGGCGGAGAGAGAGAGGGGAGAACAGGGAGGAAACCTTCCTCTGCAGGACCCGTGGTTACAGCCCCAGGAGGCCACGCTGGCCTTAGAGTGGAAAGCTACACTGAGCGCCACTGGTGCTGGGCAAACAGAGTGCCCTTGCTGCCAGAGGGCATTAGAATCAGGTCAGGACTAGGTTAGAAGCCAGAGGTCAAGGCAGAAACAGCAAACAAAACTGGAAAATTGGCTTTGTAACCTTTGTCATGTTCTGCTCCCGACTGGCACTGCCTGGCTGGGGGTCTCTTGGTTTCCGGACAAGCCTGGTCCCAGAGGACAGACGGGTTGCTGAGGAATTCCCCCCTGGAGCAGGAGACGTCCGTCACCTCGGAGGCCCTGGCGGGGACTGTCCAGTTCTGGTGCCCGGATCTGGGTTAGGGCTTGGAGTCCCTTCTCCTCTCTGAGCCCCTTGTCCCGCCCGGTCTCCTTCTGAGGCTCATGGAGGGGGGAGGAGGAGGAGAGGGCTTCTCCCATTTCTAGTGGGAATGAGGGCATGCTGGTCACCAGAGACCAGGCTGCAGGGACTCGGAGGGCGGGATGGTCAGCAGCGGGGCCGCCCAGTCCCTCTCGGGAGAGGTAACCGGAAGCACCTGCTGCCAGTGAGCAGCATGACATCTCCGGAGTCGGTAGGGAGCAGCCACGGTTAACACCTGGTCCCCGGGAAGGTGTGCTATCCCAGGCGAGGCAGAGAGAGGATGAGACGGCAAGAAAAGGATGTCCCAGAAAGTCGGCGGGACAGGAGAGACAGAGTCAGAGCTGGAGGCACAGAAGGAGGGAGGGAGAGACCCAAGGAGCAGCCGGCCCAGAGGTTCCCAGGGTTCCCACAGCATAGGGAACAAAGCCCGGAGGAGGGATAAATATTCGGTTACAGAAGTGAGTGCTGAGCTCATCGACCAGAACAGGAACGAGTTCTGCAGGGGAGCACACAGCGCCCGGGGCCCAGGAAGACAAGCCAGCAGCAGAAGGGGGGTGGGTGGGGGGATCTTTAGAGGAAGCAGCAAGGCAGAGGCTTTTCCTGAACCACCACCATGTCCCCCACCATCTACGGAGTGAGGGGCATCAAGAAAGGAGCCAGCCTGGCTGAGCTGTGGCGGGGAGCCCGCCCCCTGCAGCTCGAGAGCCAGCCACCCCACGCGGGTGGGCAGGGTGACTGTTTTTCAGAGCAGATGGACCATGACAGCTCAGCTCAGCATGGCCCCCCAGTGCCGTGAGGCCGTGAAGTTGGGGAAGTGTCTCTGCTAGTCAAGTTTCCATAACAGACTTCTGGTGGCAGCTACTGGGACCAGAAAGCACGCCGGCCAGCACACCAGCCATCCCAACACACACACACACACACACACACACACACACACAACACACAACACACACACACACACACACACACCCTCTCTTCTTCACCGACTGAAAATGACTTAAAGTAATACCAGTGTTGTGTGCATGGACCGGAAAGAAACAATACCTGTGTGGGAGAGGGGGATGCCTCCGATTTTTAGTTGTTGTTTTTTGGGTTTTTTTTTTTTGAGGGAGGACATCATATCTGGCAGTGCTGGGGTGGGAGGGAACCATAAGGTGCCAGGAACCAAACCCAAGGATCCCAAATACAAAGCCCTTGAGCAATCTCTCCAGTCCACGGATCTCAACAGAAATCAAAGGCAAGTATTTAGAACAAGCACTTTCCAGATCTCTCTGTTTCCGGAAGGAACACCCAGCACCTGAAGGCACAGGGGCAAAGGGGCCAACCTGGGCGGTCGAAAGACTCAGCGAAATCAAAGTCATCTTTGATTTCACTGAGACCCGTGAGGCTCTCTGTCTGCCAGTCAGCCTCTGGGTCTCAGGTTCTCTGTTTTCTGTTTGTTTTGTGGCCAGACCCCGTGGGGCTCAGAGCTTACTCCTGGCTCTGCATTCATGTATCCAGGCAATGCTTGCGGGACCATATGTAGTGCAGGGAACTGAACCCAGGTTGGTCTTGTGCAAGGCAAGTGCTCTTTCTGCTGAACTCTCTCTTCAACCCAACACCGTTCTTTCTTTAAAAATTGGGGTTCCTGTTAATTAATCCACATCTCAGAGCTATTGTGAAGATTTAAGTGAAACAAATAAAGGGTTTCCAGAGTGCAGGGAAAGTGACTTGGGTTGTCATGGAAATTCTTATGGGAACTCACCAGGCGAGATGGCCCAGAGATGGTCCTTAAATATAGTGGCATTCCTTTCGCAAAACCTCCACTCTGCTTAGACAAGCTGCCTGACCTGTGTTAATGCCAGACCCGCGAAATAATGAGCTCTATTTCAGACGGATTAGATGGAAATAGCAAAGTCACACTTACAAACTAAACTGGGGTGCAGTTGGCTACCCTTATTAACCAAACCTTTTTCTTTCATTTGGGGTCACAACCAGTGATGCTCAGGAATACTCTGCACTCATAATTACTCCAGGCGGTGCTTTGGGGACCATATAGGATGCCAGGTATTGAACCCAGGTCAGCCATGTGCAAAGGCAAATGCCCTACCGGCTGTACTATCATTCCGGCCCTTTTAACCAAAACTTTTGAAATTCAACTAGGTGCTTCTAAAAATCAGTGTTTAAGAAAAAGGAACGTGGGGCTGGAGAGACAGCACAGCGGGTAGGGCGTTTGCCTTGCACGCGGCTGACCCAGGTTCGATTTCCAGCATCCCATATGGTCCCCTGAGCACCGCCAGGAGTAACTCCTGAGTTCAGAGCCAGGAGTAACCCCTGTGCATCTCCAGGTGTGACCCAAAAAGCAAAAAAAAAAAAAGGAACGCTGACACTGTTCATTCTTAATAGTGGCTTTATAATTTCTTCCCAAGTTGTGCTCAAGCTACAAGGCCTCTGGTGTGACTACAGTAGATTGAGAAAACTTTTTTTTGGGGGGGGGTAATGGGGGCTATTCCTGGCATTGTGCTCAGGATCACTCCCAGTAGAGCCTGGGGGACCATTTGGGATGCTGGGGATTAAACCTGGGTCGGCTACATATAATGCAAACGTCCTACCTGCTGTACTATTGCTCTGCTCCCCTAGGAAAACATTATGTTCTCAGACTATAAGTTGAAATTTTTAATTGGTGGCATGTTTGGGAAGTTTCTGACAAGAGAGGCAATGCTTATGTAGTGCCATTAAATAAAAATAAATAAATAAAAACAGGAGACAACTTGGTGTACTTACAGCCAGTTCAACTGTGGCTCAAAAATGTACACAAACAAAGGTGAAAAATTATAAGTGGTTACCTCTGCCTTTCCCCTACATCCCCTTTTGCAATCATTCAGGGGCTGAAGAGATAAGTAGAGCAGGGAGGGCGACTACCCTGTATGCAGCTGACTCAGGTTCGATTCTTGGCATCCCATGTGGTTCCCGAGCCTGCCAGGATGTGCTTGCCCTCCCTCAAAAAAATAAAGTTCAGACGCTATTCTCAGTGGCGCTGTGCTTGGAGGCACCATTTAGAGGATCATTCTGAGAATTGACCCAAGGCTTTCACAGGCATAGTACGTGCTCTAGTCTCTTGAAGAATTTCCCTGGCCACTATTTTCTTTAAACTTGATTTGGGGGGAGTGGGGCATACCCATTAGTACTCAAGGACCGTATCTGTCTCTGTGCTGAAAAGCCACTTGGCAGTGTTGTGGGGGCCCATATGTGGAGACCAAATTTAAACCAGAGTCACAGTCATGCCACAGATCAGGCAAGTGCCTTCACCTTTGTATTATCTCTCTGCCTCCCTTGATTCCTTTAATGACAACAAAAACGTCAAGTCTTGTATTGAAAAAAAAAAGCCTCAGTTATTAAAAACAAAAATAGAAAATTCTACTCCATAGCCCATGGGGTATGTAAGTTCTTGACTCTTACAAGAACAAGCACTGGCAAAGTCAATTCTCTGTGGAAGAAGTTATGTGTGTTCGAGGCACGCTAGTCTGGATACTCACAGAATGCCCACATCCTGAGGGCAACCTCTAGTTTTTAATCCTGCAGGAAAAAGTGGACAATAGATCCAGTTTGACGGTTTAGTGCAGGGGTGCCAGCCTCTCGCCCCAACCCACAGGAGAGGTGACCACAGGAATGTCTCTCACCACTGCATCATCCGGAACATGGCCATGGGGGCCCTTACCTCATAGGTTATGAAAACAACGGTCCCAGCAGGCCCTGCGCTAGGCAGCACATTCACTTTCTCTCATCCCCATTTTGCAGAGCCGAGAATGTGGTTTACAGAGATGAAGCATGCGGCCCGAAGTGATGGTACAGTGGGTAGGGCACTTGCTTTGCACACAGCTGACCCAGGTCCAATCCCTAGCATCCCATAGAGCCCCCCACCAAGCACCACTGGGAGTGATTCCTGAGTGCAGAGCCAGGAGTAACCCCTGAGCAACACGGGGATGGCTCAAAAACCCAAAAATTAAATAAAAAAAAATAAAGAGATGAAGCAGCCCACCCAAAGGGCAGGAGTGGAGTCTAACTCAAACCTAAACCCTAGTTTCACAGGCAGCCATGGTCTGGGGGATGAGGAGGGCTCACACACTCAGGGAGCAGGAACAGGCTGCTGGGGTGATGAAAACCACCACCCAGCATATTATTTTGTTGTAAATTCTGAACTGCTTTTGTGCTGATATATTTAGAACCTCCCCGTGAAAGACGAGACTGAAAAAGAGTGCTGATTAGATTGTTTTGATTTGTAAAGGGAGGGGAGGGGAGTGCCTGCCACAGGAATCTAATTTCCTGCTGGATTTAGCATCTTCAGAAGGGTCTCCAGGCAGGAAAATGGCCCTGGACAGACTAGGGTTGGCTTCTTACTCCTAGCATTCCCTATGACCCAAGGCAAATGGTTTCCCTTTCGGAGCCTCAGTTTCCTCATCTGTAAACCCGCACTATATGTTTCGGATCATACTATATGTTTATGATCCTGAACATTGGTCGGGCTGATATGGGAAATGAAGTCAAACCAATGGGGCAGAACATTAGGAATCATGAGCTCGGTCTTGGGGGGGGACCCCATCAAGGATGTCTCCCTTTCTGAGTACAAGTATTCCCTCTTGAAGAGGGCACTTCAGGTGGGCTGGGCCTGGTAGCCAGGGTTTCCATCTTCCTTAAGTTTGCCTTCTGTGTTAGATAGGGTTTGGTCTTGATGCACTGGGTGGTCCCAAGACTCTCCCCAGTGCTTCTTTTGGTCAACCTAACTGAAGTCCTTCTGGATGGAGGTGCCCAGACCACAGCCACATGCATGGGTCCCTCACATTTCCAGTTTGCTCCTGACTGCCAACCTGGAAGGGGGACCAAACTTAACCAGGGCTATAACTAAGGCAAGAAGAACAGAAGCAGGGAGGCACCGGTTCTGCTTCGAGACAGGCGAAGTGAGCACCATGGCAGAGCTGGGAGATGAGAAACGCTGAAAAGGGGCAAGGCAGGAGAGAGAGAGGTGGAGGATGGGTTGTGAGCGCTGGCCCCAGGAAATTCAGGTATGGGAGAAAGAGGAAGAACCAGGTAACACCTACCAGATAGGGTGACCAGCCTACTGGGTTTGCCTGGGAGGGACTGCGTGGGGGGTTGTGTGTGGGGGGGTGTCAGGCACACAGGATCTTCCCCAGGGAAAAAAAAAAACGAGGCGGCTTTTAGGCTCGGCGGGTAATGCGCTGGGAGATGCGGGGATCTGGCCTCTGATTCGGCGCGCCCACGTGCCCTGGGCTGTGGCCCCATCAACAGGTGGTCGGAAGGCTTTGGGGATGGGCTTAGGGGAGGCCACTGGGGGGAGCTCAGCGCGTCAAGGCTGTCCCCAGCCCCAGCAGGGGCGGAACGCCCTCGCCTTGGCCCTCTCCCTCCCTCGGGGGCGGACGGCTGGGGGTGCGGGGGAGGGGGCGCGCGCATGCTCAGCGGGCTGGGCCCCTCCGGGGCGGGCCGGGGGCGCGCCCCAGCCGGGCCGGCGCTTTACCTGCAGGCCGTTCGGGTAGCCGTCCCCCTCGGAGAGCGAGTCCACCAGGTCCTCCTCGTCCAGCGTGGCGCGCTTGTAGGTCGACATCTGCAAAGCCAAGTGCAACACAGACTCTCTCAGCGCCTCCATGGCTCCGGCGCCCGAATGGGGAGAATGGGGAAGCGGCCCCGGCGCCGCCGCCGCCGCCGCCGCCACCGCGCCCCGCCCCGCCGGCCGGCCGGGACACCGCGCCTGGCCCACGCGCCCGCGGAGGCTGGGGGACGGGGTCCCGCCTCCCTCCGGCCCCCTCCCCGCCCCCTCGGCGCTTATGCAACGCCGCGCCTCACCCCCAGCGCCCCCGGCCAGGCGGCCCAAGGGTGCGGGGGCCACCCGCTCCCCACGCTGCGCCCTGCGACGACGTCAGGGACCCCGCTGCCAACGCAAGTGAGACAGTGAGACGCGGGCCCCGCTGGGCTCGGGGATAAGGGGTAGGGTGGGGGGCGCAGGCGGGCGCCGGAGCGGAGACTCCTGCGCCCCAAGGGGCGACCCTAAGGTCCCAGGAACCCAGAGCACCCCTCCCATCCCACGTCACTGGGAAGCCCCACCCCACCCCCTGCTCCCCAAGACCAACCCCAAGAAGGCAGGAAGAGCCCAGGATGCGGGCACTCAGCCTAAGAACTCAAGTCCCCTCCAGTAAGGGGGTCCCTGGAAGCAGATGCAAAGAGACTTGTGTTGTATTACGGTGCCCTTAGTTGGCCCTGAGTTGCATGGAGGTGTGTGTGTGTGTGGGGGGGGGGGGGGTCTCCCTGCTCATTTCCCTGGAGCCCAGGGGCATTAGCCAAAGTTCAAGAATGAGTTTCAGAAAATTCCTGAGCACCTCCTCACCTAGAATGGAAAGCGCGGTGGGTATGCAGTTGGGTGTCAGAGGAGATCCCAGCGTATCTCCATGCTTAAAGGCAACAGCATAAGCTTGGGGCTAACCAAACCCGAGGCCTAGTGCACTCTCAGCCCCTCAAGCACCCATTCCCTACCCAGCCCCCTGGACGCTGGGCCATGAGAGGGTGGGCTGTCACCCAGGGTGGGGGCTGTCAGCTGGAGGGGTGCTTCTTTAGGGGGCGGGGCAGTTTCAGAGATGCTCAGGGGTTACTCCTGGCTCTGCACTCAGGAATCACTCCTGGTTCAGGCCACCATATGGGATGCCGGGGGTATAACCCCGGGTTGGCAGTGTGCAAGGCACATGTCTCACCGGCTGTACTATTGCTCTGGTCCCTAGAAGGGGTCTTCCACCCAGGACCCCAACCCTCAGTGCAAAATTTCCTCACAGGATCCTCCACCTCTAGTGAGCCCAGAAACGCCGTGTGTGTATGCATTTGTTCATATCTGCAAAGTACAGTCCTGCAGCTGGAAGGCACTTGCTCTCCATGCAGCTGACACTGAGCACAGAGCCAAGGAGTAAGCCCTGAGCACACCACCCCCCCCACACACACACACACAAAGAGCCGAACCCAAGTACACTTCTGCTCATTCTCCGGGTTCCCACAGTCACATGTGTGCAGGGACAGGCATCCTGGGGCGAGTGCCCAGTCACCGCCACAGCCAGTGCTCCTGATGGTTCCGACTTCGCAGGCCTGCCCTCGGCCAGCCCTTCAGAGCCTTTCCAAAGCAATCCCGACTTGACCCTCCAGGCCCAAGACCCCTGAAGGTACCGTCACTATGCTAGCCACCAACCGCCCCAGCCTCATCTAATGCTGCTCCCATATCTTATCCCTCACTCCTCGGGCCTGCCAAGTTTCCTCTTTCTGTGTCTTTCTCCATTCCATGTAGGGGATCGAACTCAGGGCCTAAGACCTGCAAGGCAGGTGCTCCACCACTGAGCCATATTCCCCCTGACCTACCAAGTTCTCCCGTTCCCCAAGACCTTGGTAGCTGTTGTTTCCTTTATCTGGAACATTCTTCCTCATGGTTCAGATCTCGGCTTAATTGTCACCTTAAATGTCCTGACTGCCTTCGGTGGTGACCCCTCAAATTTTCTAGTATAGCACAGTTCCCCCCACCCCTATACAGTTTTTACTAAGTTGGTGATTTGTTCTGATTTTAGTTTTAGGTCTGCCCCTCCCCAGAATAACAATCTGTTATCAGGGTCGGGCCCCTATCTGGGACAAAGAGCCCAAAGTCTGCCCCATCCTGCAGGTGCCCCCAGACCCTCCATGGCCTGGTGGCATAGTGGAGGGGAGCAGCAGTGACCCTGGGCCACAGTCCCGTCCTCTAAGCAGAGCACTTCACCGTCCGAGGACCAAAGGGGTGCATATAAGGAGCACAGGTCCTGAGGTAGGGGAGAAGGTGAATTCTGGGGTGCTTAGTCTCATACCCGCTGAGCCAGACAGAGCCCCAGACACATCACCTCATGCTGGGTGACCTGCTGCGCTTTTTCTGAAACCAGTAGGACCACTTGCTTACGGTAAGGAAGAAGGGGTGCCCCCAGAGGAAGACATCTGAAACCCAAGTTTCACTCAGCAGACATCCCCAGGCCGGGGGCACACACACAGGGAGGTGAGAGGCAGTCGCCTTTGTTCTCTTCCACCCAGCGTTGTCTGCCACCCTGGACAGCCCCGCGCCTGGCCCCTCTGACAGTGCCGGAAACAGGCCTGGGGGAGTATGGAGACCGAGGGCCGGAGAGCCACGGCTTCCCTCCCCTCCGTCTCATTTCAGACACTGCCCCCCTTTCCTGGGAAGTTTACCTCTCCACCCTCCCCAGGCACAAGGTAGATCTGTGTTCCCACCTAGTCCCCACATGAGAAGACCCTGAAGGCTGGGGGGTGTGGCGTTTCCCAGAGCCAACAAATCAAGTGTGAAGGTGAGAGGGACGAGGAAGGTGGAAGCCCCCTTGAGGGGCCAAGGCCAGCCTGCCCAGGCCTACACGGGAATATCCGGGTCTCTGCGGGAATATCCCAGCCTATGCGGGAATATCCCGACCTGTGAGGGAATATCCCGGCCTACCCTTGAGTACCCTGGCCTACCCCAGCCTATTCCGGCCTATCCCAGCCTACGCTAGCCTACCCCGGTCCACCAAGCCAGCCACTCACAGACTGTCCCAGCAAAAAGCTGCAGAGATGAAAGCAGATTATTTTTTGGCACAGGGAGGGTGAGGAGTTCTCCCCAGAGGCCTGTCTCCAGCCCAGGAGTGACAGTGAGCCCACCCCATCCAGGGCCGGCTCGGCCAGCTGGGCTCAACCATCCCCTGAGGCCTCTGGCAGCCTAATCTCTGCACCAGCCTCCTAGGCAAGATTCCCATCAGCCCGCTGAACCCCCTCTCAGCAGGTCTCATTTCTAGTTTATGTTCTAGAGTCACATCCAGCAGTCCTAGGGGGGGTTACTCCCAGCTCTGTGCTTGGGAGTCGCTCCTGACAGTGCTCAGGGGACCATGTGGTGCCAAGGATAACATGCCAGCCTCCCACAGCGGGTACCTTTGAGGCATCACTGCGGCCCATCCAGGCCAAACAGCTACTAACAGACACTTGGCTGAACATCCCTGCCGAGGAGACTGGAGACCAACAAGGAAGCAGGACAAACCTCCCGGGTCCTCCAGGGGAAGCCAAGCCAACCTGGTCTACAGGCGTGGCAGGTCAAGCTGCTCTCCAGGGGGGACAGCACCGTCAGTCTGGGGGAACCTGAGCTGACAGGGCGGTGAGCACTTAGGCTCCCTAATTGCCTCATTTGTGGTTGTGGGTGCCACACCCTGCGTGGAGAGCGCCAGGGAAAGGGGAAGAACAACCACTGCTTTGTGGGGAGTCCCTGCCTTGACTGGCACATGTAAGCCTGCAGTCAGGGAGGAGGGCGGGGCGGGAGCCACCCCTGCTGCCCAGCCCTGGCAAGTCCACCCTGGGGCCACGGGTGAGCGGGGAGCTGGGGCCAGTGCGGCTGCGTTGCAGGTGACGCCAGCACCGGCAGGGTCCCGTCCACCCTGACTGTGCTAGTCACGTCAATGGCATTCCCAGTGGGTCCATACATAGGCCCAGGCTCTTCCCAGAATCGGGAGCACATCAGAAGCAGGAACAAGCAGGCTGGGAGTGACACTCTGGGCTGCTGCTCAGAAGTGGTGTCAGGGCTTTTTCCAAGCCTCCGCTCCTCAGGGGTGCAGCCCCTTGTGGCCCAGAGAGGCTCCCTTCAGCTGCTGCGTCCAAGCTCAGGAAGTAGTAGCTGGGATCCGTGACTTCTTCCCACGTCATCTAATAGTGGCTCTCACAGACGTGATGCCAAATGCTGGTTCTAACAGACACGGCACTCAGGGCGTGTAGCGCGCTCTGGAGCCAAACCTCAGGTCAGATCTCCATGCTTTTCCAACTATGCGACCTCGGGCCCGTGACTCAGCCCCTCAGGACCTCAGCTGTTTCATCAATAAAACGGGGATGATGACAATAGTACTTTCCTCATAGCATAACTGTTACCTAAATGAGTAATAAAGCGCTTACAACACTGCTGGGCACATGACAAGTGTCATTTAAGTGTTCGCTGTTACTATTTGCATCATAATTATTACTTATAAAATGTGATGGTGCCCGAGGGACGCTCAAAGGACCGAGCGTCTGCCTGGCATGCGGGACGCTGGATTAGATCCCTTGCTCTGCATGGTCACTTGAGCATCGAGTCAGAAGCAGACTTTGAGCAATGCTGGATGTGGCCCTCAAACCAAAAAAAAAAAAAAAACAAACACCAACCCCCCTCCCCCAAAGTAAAATAAAAATTGTGGCTGCTTGATCTAAGAAATTTATTAAGACAATTATGGGCAAGATAGTAAAAATAGGGCCATTCCGCTAAAAGACGATGCCCGTGACCTCTGTTACTCTGATTACATCACCCTTTATATTGCTCAATGCCCTTCACATGAGAAATTCCCGCGTGAGTCATTTCTCTTTAAATTTACTACAAGGGTCTGAGAGATAGTTCAGCACGCTGAGTGCAGTCTTTGCATGTGGGAGGCCGGGTTCAATGCCTGGTGCTGCATATGGTCCCCAGGGCCCTACAGGGTGTAACCCCTAAGCAACAAGCTGGGAGTTGCTCCTGAGTGCCACTGGCATGGCCTGAAAACCGGGGGGAGAAACAAAAAAAAG